CATGGCTGCATTTCTTTATTCATTCTGAATGTTTGGAATAAACTTTTATGTTAACTTATTCTTTAGATCGTTCGAGATGATATGTTAACGTACATTTCAAACGCATTCTGTTTATTCCGGCTGTGAAATGGGATTATCCGGAATGTATAAAGAAACGCAGCCCATGGGTTTTACCCATGATAAAACCATTAAAAGGTAAACTCATAATCTCACTTCGTCGGTCATGACTTTTTTTATGACGTTTGCAAGCATCTTAAAATTATATAAAATTGGAAAAAAAGAAATTAAATTGTTCACAATTTTTGTTGTTTCCCAGTAGAACTTGGGAGCATCGTACGATTGCTCGGTGAGTACTCCCTTGTGAGTATACGAATACTCCCAATTGCTCCCTATGCTTCTGTGTATAAGCATGTTATTTTGTATTCTCCCTTTAACATTGGATGTCCTAGGAGGGGGAGTAATCCCTTTTACCTCCTAAACGAGCAATCGGGGAGCAAACACAGAATTATCATCAATACGGGAGTATTCCCATAGTTACCTCCCAGAAACCTCCCAAAAAGGCAACAAGGGAGTGCACATAGAAAACATCCCATACACCTCCCGAACGAGCAATAAGGGAGTGCTCCCATTAGAGGCATCCCGAAAGGCTCCTATAGGAGTAATAAGAGAGCAATGATAACGAACATTTTAAATTAGCCAAATAGATTTTGCTATTTATTAAATTTTTTATTTAACTAATCACGTGCATTTGTGCTAATTTTACAAGACCTTAACAGATATAAGTACGAGATCAGATAAAACATAAATGATACGTCTTACATAATTGCTTAATTTTAGAATTATATTGCAGAGAAATCATGTGAAAGTAAAACGTAATAATAACAAAACGGTAAGATAAGATATGCACATATAAGTATGTACTCGTATATGATTTCCTGGTTGTCAAGGATGCTTGCCTGGTCAGGAATCCACCAAGCGGGGAAATTGTGAAGGTGACTTTGCTTATCTGACATCTTTGCCACCCATGCGATGTTTAAACCCGGGGGTCACACTTAAATGCAAACACTAATTTGCGCAATCTGAAAAGTATTTAACGGTATATTTGTAAGTAATACAATGCTTAAAATATTTAAACAAAAGTTGAGGTACAAACCAACGGACTTTTATTAAAATCTGTGTGCTATCCAAATTAGATTATTGTGTCCTCCTTATGCGCCTATAAGAAATATTTTCTGTTGGTTTTTTTTTTTCTATGATAAATTTTTTCGAAAACACAAAATTTCTTTTGAACGAGGTGCGTATTGCTCTCCTATCAATCAAAAAGAAGACTCTTGGATTTCTCGCTTAGGAGACATCACTTTTTAATCCTAAACGAGTAATAACGGAGTACAAAACCGACAAATCCCGTTTATTGCTCCCAAATCATGCCTCGGGGAGTATTATTTCGTCGCTCGCTTAGGAGATCTCCTATTTGATTCCTAAACGAGTAATAAAGGAGTACAAAACCGACAAATCTCCCTTATTGCTCAGAAATCAGGTTAAGGGGAGTACTCTTTTATTCCTCACATAGGGAGATATACCTTCAGGTTCTAGTGGGTTGAGATTGAAAATGGGAATGTGTGCGTGAGTTTGAGTTTTGATTTTTTTTACCTTGTTATGTTTTTATCATGGTTTTACCTTGCAATGTTTTCATCATGGCGGAAAGCATCTACTTTATAAGTATAGTCAGGTGGCAATCAGGGTCTTACGCTTATTGATGGTGCCCCAAAATTTGCCAATGATTAACTGATCGCCTCTTCAGTTGCTTGCGACTATTTTTACTGGCGTGTTAGGGTAAGTGAAATCAGCTCCACAGTACAAGCATTTGGTTGGCTTTTTGACAGTGCCTTCAAAAAGATGTTTACGTGGAATGAACTCAACACTTTCCACAAATCTGGCGGTATTCGCGAGACTAATATTGAAGTATCTCGGCTCTATAGCAGGGATGCCGTTCGAAATCATTTGGTGCAATAAAAGGCAATCTTCATAACATTCTGGTGTTTTCCCAACAAACCCAACCAAAATGAAAAAAAAAAAATTTGCACAAAAGTGGGTGAACTTTTTTTCGAAGCTTATTTGATAGAGCGATGCAGCGAGCCTTTGAAAAGAATGAACACAATTTATTTTGAGCTTCTTCTAGTCAAAATCAAAATGGCTAATATACATACATACATTCATATTTTAAGGATGTAGACTGCATTGAAAATGAGTTTGTTTAATATCACATTTAGTACACGGGTACTACGGGTATCTTTTCACTGCTGCTTTAACAAAACCGGCGATAAGCAGTTGCCAATATGCTTTTCCATAGCCATGCAAGCACATCCACTCACCTCCTATACATTACATCCGACTTGAATTAAATTAAATGTGATTGGCAATAAATTTTCATGCTTTACAAATCACATGCATCCCCCATTCATTGACATCTCACTCATTTTTTTTATCTATTACTTAGGTGAGTATTTTTTTCTATTTAGATTATTTTGGCGGGAAATTTTCAACTTTTTTTAGCACAATTTTCTTGC